AAGTACTTCTCAAGTGTAGGGTTATCATCCAAACTGAACTCACATCTATTTGTGCAGGTACCTTCCAATTAGAATGGACTCATCTCACGTGTGCAGTTACCATCTTTAGCTTGATGATTATGTCTTGAGTATACAAGTACCAAATATACAAAAACTGTCACTTCTCATGTGTACAGTTACCATTAAGACCGAATGAACAAGTGGCTGCGTACCATCTAGGCAAATGGACAATTCACAAATGTGCAGGTACCATTGCAAATGGGAACTTCTGAAGTATAGAGGTGTTATCCATACTAAACAGACACACTCATGAGTGCAGGTACCATCCAGTCTCAAGCATGCAGTTACAATCTTTTGTTTGATGGTTATGTCTTGAATATTAACAAATTGTCTTTTCTCATGCGTACAGGCCCCATCGAGACCATATTAACAAGTGAATGGCTACTATCTAAGCAAACGGACAATTCTGAAATGTGCTGGTACCACTGAAATTAAGTACCTCTCAATTATAGAGGTGCTCAACTATATCAAAGTGCTGCATCTGATTTTGAAAAAGTGAAACAGACATAGATGCATAAAATTAATATCTCGGATGTAACGTCCCAAAACCATAATACAGTAATGATATCGAGACGCTGTAGTGAAGGGCTTCGGAAAATTCGACCATCTGAGGTTCTTTAACGCGCACCCGAATCGTAGTACACGGGCCTCAAACATTCTCGCCTCCGTCGAAAAGGTATCACTGGTGCAAGACGTGCCTCTCTTCTTGAAGGGATACGCCACCAATAACTCTTGTGTTAATGTGTCAGTGCTCCTGTCTAATTGTCTTAATCGTTCAAAGCCATGGCTCACATCCGCAGGTTATACAAAGTGCAAGTAAGTGCGTATCTCCTCAATCCTCTAAGGATAATTCACGCTCCCATGCTCGGTCATTGAGACATCGCCCAGTTTGCTCCAACTCCAACTTCTTTTGTCGTGTCTCTTTTTTTCAAGTTTGTGTTATTAGGTACCCTTTGATGCTAACCAACTTTCCAAAGAACAAGTCTTGCTGTTCTTTGGTGTTGTTCTTACTAAGCTGACACATTCGTGTGTTTAGGTGCTATCCAAACTAACCGGACACATTCTAAGCCTGCATCTACTATCGTAAGCTTGACAGCAGTGGCATCTTGTTTATACGAGTGCCATCCAAACAAAACGTTCACTTCCAATGTGTACAAGTATCAGTGAATCCAAATAGAAGAGTTGGGTTCATACCACGCAAACAAATGGACAGTTCTCAAATGTGCACGTGCCATTACAGGTTAACATTTTTCAAGTATAGAGTCACCATCCAAACTGAACCGGCACACTGGTGTGTTGCCATGCTAACCAAACAGACAGGTTTCTCGATCTGGTGTAGCGTATCGCGGCAAAGGAGAGATGAAACGGCCGAGCCGGCCAACACAAGAGGAGCGCGCTAACTTGAGGGTTAGGAACGCTCACCCGATGTTCAACACTTGTGGATCTCTACTATGCAGGCACCATTCCACATGGACACATACCATACACCTAGTACCGTGCATGCTCAAGCCTCTTATCAAATACCATAAAATGCCGAGCAAGTGCCCCTACCCTCACAAGCACCCCCCTCCCTTTTTCAAGAGATCTGAAATAAGCGCCAAGTACTGGTCCGGGATCGAGCGAGCACCCACCTCTCAAACCCGGTCTGATTATTTTTCTCCGTACGGGGGACGCTTTCTCAGCATTTTACGGTGCGCAGTTACCATCCAGACTGAACAACTGCTTCTCAAGTTTACAGGTGGAATCCCAAACTAAAATAACTTCTCGGTTATACAGGTACTGTCGAAACTAAACAGTGATTGTTAACTATACAGGTACCATCCGAACTAAACAATCGCTTATTATGTATATGGGTACCTGTTTAAACCAAATGCTCACTTGTCAAGCATGGAAGCATTGCATGAAGCTAAATGATTGAAGTAGTAGTATTGAGTGTTAATGTGTTTAAAGCTGTTGATCAATGTTCTCCTTGTTTACCAGCCACCTGGTTAGATCAGTCGTAGAACAAACGCACCATTATGCATTGGTTGCAGTCTTGAACTACTTTTTCTCTAGCTGGGCTAGGGGCATAGTCAGAAATTTTTTCAGGAGGGGGGATCTTCTTGATTTCGGTGAAAGCACCCCCTTAACATTTTTCGCTCTGTATGCTGGTGGGGAGGGGGGGGGCATGGGCTTAGTGTGCCAGCCCCTGGCTGCGCAAGTGAGCTGGGTAGCCCCTTTTCCGAGAAATCGATATGATACAGGTATCCTTGGAGACAGCATATGAGTGGGTTAGATATTTATTTCGTCACCATTCCCTTATCTTTCCAAGAACACTTTTGCGCAAATAAGACAAGGTAAGTACCGTGAAAACCACTGTGCGTATGTGAGTACATCGGTCCGAGGAGAGTATTTTTATGATTCATGAGTGGTTTAGCCTATTCCAAGTAAAGATATTTGTTATATACATGAGACGTTAGAGTAGTCGGTGATAAGTATTTTGACTGCCTTGGAGTTATCGAAACAATGCTTAAATGTGACCATAATTGTATGGAAGTGTTACAGATTGAATTGTTACGATTGAAGTTTTAAAAAATTTCGGTTTCTTGAAAATGTGGTTGGGATGTGAACTTATGATTCTATGCTCGTCAGCATAATATCCAGGATGTGTGTTAATATACGTGTGAACACATTATGACAGTTTTTATATTAATTTCAGTAGAGTAATTTCAGACACACTACATAAAGTGTCTTGAGTACGTCATAAAAATCCTTTGGAAAGTTTGACCAGGTTTTGAGTACATCTTGAATACAACCAGGGCAAACTTATACTTCAAGTTTTATCATTATGTGCAAAGTGTTTCACTAAAACAAATACAGATGTAGGTGTTCATCAGAAGGAAAGTTCATCACATTACATTTTGTTCATAATTTATCTAGTGGCAGCTTGAATATAAATGATTAGCCACTAGTTGTCGTGTTTGAGGTAGCTCGTAAAACGAGACGTACTATACATCATTAATTGCAAGCTATTCTTTTTTAGATAACCATAAGTCATCAAAACATTTTTTTGTCCCTCTAGAACTCTATATGCACCTCTCTATTTAGTAATAATGTCGCCAAATTTTGTTCCGTCTATGGAAGAGCATACTTTCTGTCAGATATGAGGTGTCGTTAATGCTCAAGCTGTGTTCATTTTGCAGTACAGTATTATAAAGTATAATACGATTTGTTTTCACAAACTCGTATTTCCCTGGATAATTCAGAAGGCGCTCAATGTTATAGAATTTGCGCGACACGTGCGCCCATGTATTAATCTGAACGTGCAGCACTGTACGCCTACAACCATAGTTTCATACCATGTACGTGTAGCCCAGCTGTCATAGGGTGCCTATGAAACCCTATATACATACAACTGTTAAGCCCAAACTCCATAAGCGCGAAAATGCACGCGACAGCGACGAGCGACGCTATGAGCGACGAAACAGGGCGTTCGCGCGACGTGTCGCGTGCTCGTTTTCGCGCGATCGCTCGGTTCTCCAGATTTGGAAACCGTCGCTCATCGCCCGGAAGTGCTGGGCTCAAGCAGCCAATAGCGAAAAACCGGAAAAGACGAAGACTACACAGGTGCAAGTGACCCTGCCCGAGTCACGTATGCGCAACAAGAAATAACGCAATGTTTATTACGCATGTGCATATAAAAAGTGCTGCAAGGCAATAATAAACACTTTCCGTTTCATTACACAACAATATATCTTATTTTCAAATTGCATACCGCTTACTACGCGGTTTTCTTGGTGCGAGTAGACGGCCTCATGCCAGCAACAGTGGAATTCGCTCGCCGAAGCCGTCGCGTGAATGAGGTTTGCCTGCGCTAGCGACTGATCGCGCGACGCCGATCTACGTCGCGTCGCTCGTCGCTGTTGCGTGTATTTTCGCGCTTATGGAGTTTGGGCTTTACAAAGACTTGCTATATTCAATTTCTCGGCTCAAGCACCGCTACAGCCACTGAACTAGGCGAAATGTTACAGGTGCACCTAAATGTACCCACGATCTTGACGCAGGGTAACCCTTTTTACCCACGCGGTGCTATTAACAACCTTCGTCGGAATCCCAATAGGCCTACGAGCCTTCGCTGAGTAGTTCAACTAACCTAGGAAGCTGCGCGTCGATTAATAATACCTTCGCTGCGCGTCCTTCTAGAACGACGGGTTCACTAAGGGCGAACAAAACTACGAAAGTGAGACACAACAGCCAGACAACGACAGGTTTATTACGCATAAAACGCGGGCGGCGCAAGCAAAAAGAAAGAAAAAGGAAAGGACAGCGATAAATCATGCGCACGCCCTTGAACAATTATCAGCCGAAACGCTTGGCGAGCAACGCAGCTGCTGCTCACGCATGGAAGTCGACGGTGAATGCATGCGATCACGTGCCTCTTCCGTCGTCTCCGAGCACGAAGGTTTGATGGTTCGAGCCACGGTTCGACCCATAGAGTTTCCATGGTTCGAGCGCGAGCTTTTTCTAGAAAATGCGCGATCCCACGAAGTGACCCAACCCAGCAAAACGGCGCAACGACGCCGCGTCATTTGCACCCACTACCTCTCCATGGAATCTTACCCGACGTGACGCAATGCACCTGCGTGTGAAAGAAAAAAAAAACATTTGATGAAGATTAAAGAGACGGGCTTCCCAGACACGCCATTACACATGCAAGGCCTCCTCGCGCTCTCGCCTTCGTCCGCGAATACTCATCGCAATCACGTTGGGTGTACCTACGCGCCGTAAAATAGTCACGCCTAAAACGAGCTAAAAACAACAAAACTTGGCAAACGAGCTGCTTTAATTAATACTTGTACTCACTATACGCGTATTTTATCGCTTTATATTATCATTTAGTTGAATTTAAACGTTAGTTACCTTATCTCCAGGGCCACCTTTGTGCTGGCGTCACTGAAGGAGGGACTACTTACCGCTTCCGCTATTACCGTGCCTCTCCGCACATCACGAGCCGTCTTGCTAGCAGTTAACACCATCGGGTCCCGATTGAAACTGAAAAAAAGTCAAGCAAATCAACTCCAATCATCTCCAAAATGAACGGACGCGGCGGCAGAGGGTAAGTTGGCGACAGTTTCATTCATTTATTAGCCCGTATGGTTGGATTTTCGGTCGAAAAAGGGTTTTTATGTCGCCGCGTGTCGACACCGTTCATTCATTCCCAGGCCTTCCCCCATGTCTTTAGGCCTGGCGTCGGCTTAGCATCGCTGGAGACGAATTACGGCTCGACAAAGTTCGACCACTGCTTTTGTCGGTGGAATATGAGTGATTTTATCGAAAAAACGTCGTTTTACGGCACGTTTTATTTTAAATTTTGGTAAATTTTTGCCTTCATTCGTGGGGGGGAAGGGGGAGATAGGCCTAAGCTAAATTCGCAACGTGGCCTTTTCATGCTCCGGGAATTGGCCATCTTGGCCGGCGCAGCGTCAGGTCGTCCATTAAGACGTATCGTAGCAGCGGTATTTTCTCGCGCCCGCTTATTGTCAGCTTTGGAAAAAAACGCCGGCCGGCCGGCGTTTGCAGTGTTGTGTTTTTACTTTAGCGCATCGTGGGAGCCATGCCGGTGGCATATCGATCCCGTCTCGACCGATGAAAACGTACTGCGTTACCATGGCACCCGCACGGTGCAACAATGCGCCTTTTTAAGAATCGGCAGCCGTCATTATCCCCCTCGTTTCCTATTTTTTCCCGAACAAGACCAGTCACGACTCGCTTTTGGGTTTACTTGTGGAGTGCGAGAGGTAGTACGATTGACCGCGTGGTTGTGACGTGCTGTTGATGGCAATAGCTGAAACTTTTTGAAAGGAAACTTCATTCTGAGCACTCTTAACTCCCGTTATTCAGAAACGCTCTTAGACTTCAACTTCATCCTGTAAATGCAGCACACTCTGATTTTCAAACGCGCTACTTTGAAGGCGGTGGCAAGTCAAGCTCGTGTCATGGAGCTTGTCTGTATACGGGTTGAAATCTCGGGCTTTCGTTAACCTAAATGCGGCACAATTTCGATGACGTAATTTTTGGGCTGCGCTAGTTGCCACCACGTCATGGTTGCCACGTGGTGACGCACTTCCTACGCATCCCTTGCAATAAAAACTCAGACACACAAAAAAAGCCAGCCTTAAACTTTTAGTACGACCGAAAATACAAAAAAAAAAAGCCAGCGCTAGTCGTGAACGCATCCCTTCCAATAAAAACGCAGACACAAAAAAAAAAAGCCAGCCTTAAACTTTTAGTACGACCGAAAATACAAAAAAAAAAGCCAGCGCTAGTCGTGATAGCTGCTGTTTTTTTTTTCTTTTTCTGACGAAGAACGTGCCCCGCGCCGGGTTTTTTTTTTTTTTCTCTTTTGACGAAGAGCGTGCCCGTGCTATCGCGAACAGAAGCGGTTTCGTACTCGCTCGGATTTTCTCGACCTGTCCGCGTTTTCGCTATCGTTGTTTTACTTCGCTTAGTTGTCGCATGGAGGGTTTTTTTTAAGTTATTTTAAAGAAAAGATAAAACTAGTGGTTTGTTCACTAAGGAATACGGCTAGGTGGCGTTAGCCGCCGCCCGATCTGAAGGGTACAGCTGCATCCATCCATTGTCGCCGCGTGGCGGCAGCACTGTGGTACGTCTGGCCTTGCGTTGCAAAGAGCGCCGAACTGACTCGTAGCGCCGTCTTGTGGGCGCCGTCGCCGAGCATAAAATGGGGCGCCTAAATCCAAACGGAGAGAAACGGCGAGCACGGGTCAGCGTTGGCCGCTCCGGGAAAGCCGGGTTCAACGAAGCGCGGGTTCACTGGAGTTCACCGAGCCAATTGTTACGGGCTGATGGAGACCGTATGCGGGTGCATCTGTGCGGGCGCGCTTTAGAAAATCCGAGCGGCAGTGCTTCCGCCTACAGCGCTCCTTATTTTGATATTACAGCCTCGCAGGCGCTCGTTGCGCCCCCGTGAAGTCATGCGTGAAAACGCCAAGAGGCGAGTTAAAAATCCATTGAAGGAAGCGAGGCCACATTTGGCTCCGCATGAAAAATTGAGGGCATGACGCTGCACGAATGAGTTGACCGTGCTCAACAGTGTTGTGGGAGAGCTCAAGGAGGCAGTGTTCAATGGCCTAAGCCTTTTACTACTGTAAAGGCAGTCCAAATGTGCCAGGCTTACTGAACTTTTTCACTCGGTTTGTACAGTTCTTTTTTTTTTTCCAACAAAAATAGTACCATTACCTTATTGCGCTCATTTAGAAAATAACTTAAAGGTAGCTTCAGTATGTGGCAGTACAATGCACAATAAGAGTGAAGGCCAAGGCACAAATGCTCCAATGTAGACAAATGTAGCCATTCCGTTTAGTGTCAACACAATTGATTAGTGTGGTCTTCATTGATTCCACATAGGTACAGTTTTTGTAGTCAATGTCATTTTGTTGCACGAGCTAAGTTATAAGTTTGTATTTGAGGCAACGGACCGGCTGTTAATGAACTGTGTGAAAGTTCAGCAAAGTTGATCTAGTGTTATTAATGTTTGCGCCTAACAGGCAAGAAAAGATGCTTTTGTGACATAGCCTCAAAATGTTACGTGGGTTAGAGTACATAGTTGTACAAACTATTCCCAATTAGTATGGGTGACGTGCATCCTAATTACCTTCAGCTGGGATGTAGTTATAGTGTCATTGTTAAACTGTCATTTCAATAAGGAGCTTTAGTTTTTCAGAATTGGAACTTCACTATTAAAAGTTCGGTAATATTACTGACATTTTTTTATACATTTACAAGAGGTCCTATCATGGCCAGGGGCCTTAGCAAGGTGAAGTTGCAATGTAGGCGCGTATGATAGATTCAATGTTTTGAGTAAGATTGAGACAAAATAGGTAATATTTATCAGTTAACCTGTTTGAAGCATTCGGATGGTTGACTTATGCGGGAGTAGGCGTTTGAACTGAACCATTGAAACAACAGAAACCTGTGCTGGCTGTTAAGCGGTACTGTCTGCATTAAAGGGGTGCCAACAAAAAAAACTTTGGCCTTGTGTTTTTCTGCTCCAATGTGTTGCTGGGGGCCTGTTAGTCATGGCACGACACATAGCTTGTTGCAGCACGCAACAGATAATTAAAGGCCCGTCATTGGTTGACTTATGCGGGAGTAGGCGTTTGAACTGAACCATTGAAACAACAGAAACCTGTGCTGGCTGTTAAGCGGTACTGTCTGCATTAAAGGGGTGCCAACAAAAAAAACTTTGGCCTTGTGTTTTTCTGCTCCAATGTGTTGCTGGGGGCCTGTTAGTCATGGCACGACACATAGCTTGTTGCAGCACGCAACAGATAATTAAAGGCCCGTCATTAACCATGTTTCTGTTTGAGAGAGCTCCAAAACTGGGTGCGACTGTTGCCACTTAGCCTGTGCAGCTATTGACCGCGTTGGTACATTCACAGTAACACAGTACAGTCACAGTAACTGTGACACACTTCTGCACGGTCTGCGTCAAGAATTGCTTTTGAATAGGAAACGGAACTGCAATGTCGCCAAACACAAAACTTTCTAAGCGTGCGCCATGGCCATGCACTCTTAACCAGCCGTCGAGACTATATATATAAACTGCGGGAACAAACACTGCAAAAGAACGGTGGCTATGACGTCATCATAACTTGTTCTGTTGAGTGCAGCGGGGTGACGTGAGAGAAGTATGGGATTTCCAAAGGGTTGCCTTCGAGGATGTCAGTGGCACGATGGAGTCGAGGGCTCACGCAAACTTCGAAATTCTTTTAAAATACCATCCCAGCTATATTCGCTGTGGTATTTTGCAGATGATATACGAATGTTCCTAGGAATCAACCCCCACGTATCTTGGCCGCGAATTCGTCTGTGCTCCTTTGAATGCGCAGAAAAAAATCCAAACGAGCGCAAAGGTTTTTGAAATTGTGCCATTGGGTGCAGTATTTCATGAACTGGTTCTGGCATTGCACAGGTGAATCAAGTCGTTCTTTCAATGTATCTTTAGTTACAATGCCGATTTGGTTTATTTTTAGTATCGAGACTTCTGGTATTCCTAAGCTGCTAGGACTTATGTAACTTCAAGAATCATTCCTCGTCGATTGATCGAGGGCTTGTTTCTTGTGCTGCCTTATGAAAGTAACAGAATAAAGCTGTAGGGAGTATGCTTTTCTTTTAACTATAGTAATTATGATGCAAGTGGAAAGAAATTAGTGGACAAAATGAATGTGCTTCAGGCAGGGATTTGCATACTGCGTGTAGTGCTCCAACGATCGTGCTAAGGGGTGGTTGCTTCCTGTCTACATTATTAGGTGTTGATGTAATTCCGAAGGTTTGCCAGTGCCACTTGTAGCCATTTCAGCTAGCGTGGAACACTGTTCTGTTGCCAACTGGCACGTAGCGACCCTACTACGGGCTGAAAGCTGACTTGTGTCTTCTCGTGACACTCGCAGTAGGGACTTTGGCAGCAGCTGGGGAGGCGGGGACAGGAGGGGCGGTGGCGGCTCGGGCAGCTACCGCAATAGCCAGCCCGGTGGCAGCCTGCGTAAGCCGGACTGGGACCGCATCCAGCTGCAGCCCTTCCAGAAGAACTTCTACCACGAGCACCCGAACACAGCCAACCGGTCTCCCCAGGAAGTGGACGCTTATCGGCAAGCCAACGAGATCACAGTCAAGGGCCGCGAGGTGCCCAAGCCCATTCTTCACTTCGAGGAGGGCAACTTCCCCGACTACATCCTCAAGGCTATCCAGGCACAGAACTACACCACGCCGACCTGCATCCAAGCCCAGGGGTGGCCCATAGCTCTCAGTGGCAAGGACTTCGTGGGCATCGCCCAGACTGGGTCGGGCAAGACGCTCGGCTACATCCTCCCGGCCATTGTGCACATCAACCACCAGCCATATCTGCAGCGTGGTGACGGCCCCATTGTGAGTGTGCTCTTCTTGGTTGGTTTCTTTTTTCTTTACTGAAGATTTCTGTATGTCTTGTCAAAGATGTCTTAGTACTGCAAAAACGGGAGTGTCAGTATCAAAAACGGCGGTATCAGCTTGCCAGCATTGCACATACAGTAGGAGCAGCCTCAAGCGAAGCTTCAATTGGTACTGTTAGCCGCTACTTGCTGCTTTCTCTTTTTCGTGCAGATTTGTGGTAAACATGCACAGCATCTGTGCTGTCTTCGACACAAACACGTGGCAGAGTTAGTACTACAGTGTTGGAGGAGTGCAGTAGCTTTAGCTTACATTGTTTGTCCTTAGTTTTTTTTTTTTTTCATAGATAGCACATGAATTGATTTGCAATCTTTGACTCGTGCACTGTAGGCTCTGGTCATTAGGGTTTGGGGGTGGGTTTGTCATTTAGTTGTGTTCGTTCTGTTCACTAGTTAAATGTCACCAGCACTGCAAAATCCCAAGACCTAGTGGCTGTCCTTTGTGCAGGCTCTGGTTCTTGCACCGACGCGTGAGCTCGCCCAACAGATCCAGCAGGTCGCCTCGGACTTCGGCAAGTACTCCCGGGTGCGCAGTACATGCGTATTTGGTGGTGCGCCGAAGGGACCCCAGCTCAGGGATATCGAAAGAGGCTCCGAGATCTGCATTGCCACGCCCGGCCGCCTGATAGACTTCCTGGAAGCGGGCAAGATAAGCCTTCGTCGCTGCACGTACCTGGTGCTGGACGAGGCTGACCGCATGCTGGACATGGGCTTCGAGCCACAGATTCGCAAGATTGTGGAGCAGATCCGTCCGGACTGTCAGACCCTGATGTGGAGTGCCACCTGGCCCAAGGAGGTCCGCTCCTTGGCTGAGGACTTCCTCAAGGACTACATCCAGATCAACATTGGGGCGTTGCAGCTGTGCGCCAACCACCGCATTCTGCAGATAATCGATGTCTGCCAGGAGACTGAAAAGGAAGACAAGTGGGTGCCTGCCTTTTGTCATTTTCTTTTCCTAGCTGTTTGCATGCTTTTGAATCTGTGGTACTTATGCTTTTGTTCCTAAAAATGTCTAGATTCTTTGTAGAATGGCTCATTGAGCAGTTACAAGTTCATGTTTCTGTAATGAAAGTGTCACCGAGAATGGGTGGAGTGCAAAAAAAAAAACTGCCATATAATGGGATTACTCGTGCGGGACTGTTTGTTGGAAATCATTGGGAGAGGCTTTCATCTTTACTTGGCTGCGGGACAGGGTGATGATGAAATGAGTCTAGTTGCTTACCTGCCAAGTCTCCCGGTTTGGCCGGGAGACTCCCGGATTTCGACTGTTTCTTCCGTTCCTACAGTCGTCATAAGTCTTTCGGAAATCGAAATTTCTGTGCATGATCTGGCTGCATTGGCAAGAAAGCAGCTCAATCCGCACCATTTCGAACCTACTCTATTTTACTATAAATGCGTCCAAGAGGCGTTCATTTAAGGAGGGACATGGGTCTTAGGGCTCTCTTATCTCTTTTTCAACCAATTGTGACAAAAGTTGGCATGCCTACTCAGTTTGTTCTCCAGATTCTAAAGATGGTTATTTTTTCTGTAGCTTCATTAGTTCAGTATTTAATTAGGATAACAATATATATTGTTCCTACCACAATAGCAAAATAACCACCAGTTTGAAATTTGCAAATAGCACAGGGATCAACTCTAAAAAGCACAAGCTACACAACATAGGAAGCACTTTTTTGATTGGGTCATTATTTTTTACTTTACAGTACACTAAAATGACTCGAACCAAACTTGCTCCCTCGCTCATCAATTTCGAGGCTACACGAGTGCCGAGGTGTTAGTTTCCTGTTTCACGTAAGACTGCCACATTTTCTAGCGGAGACCACAACAACGTTGCAAACACGTCGTTAAAGCAGTCTGCCTGTTGCCAGTAGCCTCTATTGTGCAGGCGGGGAGCACGTTCACCGCGAATGGATTGACTTTCTTTTGTTTGTTGATGCGCGGCGTACTCCACGCTGACGACCTGTCGCTCAGTTCAAGGTCCTTTCGTCAGGCGGGGGAACCGCGGCATTGGCGCGTTTAGCTATGAGACTGTGCTTGCGTTCCGTCACTACAAAAATTGATATCTCTTGTAGCTTCACTTCTGCTTTGTTTGCCGTCCTCAGACTGGTGAGGCTTTTGAAAAACAGTAACGTTGTCGACAACCAACAGGCTCGTACGTGAGTTAGGCCTACACCGGTGACTCAGCGACCGCCGTTGAACGCCGCGAGTAAGCTATCCTGAGTGATAGCAGGGCTTTCTGAAGTGCAGAGGGAATGAACGATCGCCACACTTGCTTCACAAATTACTGTAGCACGGAACTTCTTTACCGCCGCAGGCAGTCGGGAGCACCATGACAAAATGGCACACGTCCGTGCACGTCACGATGGTGATGGTGAAGCAGACGCCGAAACCGCCACTTGGCCGATCGGATGTCTAGGTTTTGTCACGTGCCCCAAGCAGCCAATAACATCGCGCGCTAGTGCTTCTCGATGACGAGTTTTTGTTCAAGAACCAATGAGCCAGCGGTGGCAGGAAATTGAAGATGAAGCATGACCCTTCCAAATGAGAGCAAGATGAACACGATAGCTCGTGTGTAACGGCAACAGCTCGGCGCGGAAAAAGCGTGATTTGAGCGTCAATTTGCACTCACATTAATCTCGCAGGGATGTTATACATTGATTTTGCGTCAAAAATGACGCGAGAAGCTAGAAAATTCTCGGGTGCAAAAATAGGTACAGATTCCGAAAGCGTCAGCTTCGATTTTTTTGCGATTTTTAGCCTTCTAAGACCAGTGTTCCCTCTTAAAGACACTTTCACGGCTTACCATTTCTAACTGCAGCGAAACCACCTTTACATGGGGTTGCATGCAGACTAATGTACACATATTTGTTCGTTGTGAATACTTGAAAACTATTCATAGTTTAAATTTGAACATCCGCACAAGCCTAGTTAGGAAGCTATAGAAGGGTGACTGGGAAGTTGTATTGTTAATGCGTTCATCTCAGGCTCACTTACTGGATTTGTAGTGCCCAGTCGATAGAGGCATTATTGCCGAGAGCACAGCCATGTCACGTTTGAGTCAGCAGGATGGTGCATTTGACTGGCGGCGGCAGATAGGTAGTGTACGAGGTCAAGTTGGCCTGTCACGTCATTTCAGTGGCAGTGCTGTCAAAGCCTCGTTACAGCGACACCAGGCCTCTCGCTCACTGGGGCCACACTGCCTTCAGTTGTAGGGGGTCCTGGGACAGCGCCATAAAAATTGATGTTGATATGACTTTTTGTCAGTTTTTCATTTGGATTTGCCTGATTATGAGCGGGGGGGGGGGGGAGGCTGTATGGATATTGCTGTGCACTTACATAGGAAAACTTTTTTTTTTTAGGCTCATGAAATTGCATCAAGAAATTCTCAATGAAAAGGAAAACAAGGTGGGTGTTTGTTCTACTGTGGTTTTCTTGTCACACCGGTGGGCGGTTAGCTTATTCGTAGATTATGTATAGTGAGGTGTAGCACAAATGTTACAGCTAAAGCAAAGACTGGCCGCCTTCAGTTTGTGGACATAATTGGCCCACTATAGCTGGCTATGAAGTTTAAGATCTTTCTCGCATATAATCTGTTAGCTTCCATTTCAGGTGCTGTGTCACTACAACTCCCTTCTTTGACTTGGCTAAAATTTGTGCTACTATGATGCGCTAATCAAATGAACGCCGATGCACATGTAGCAGCTTCAGATCTATCTAGTTTGGGAACTGTGGGAAACATTTATGAAGTGTGTTGTGGGAGTGACACTGGTTCTTTTTCTTCCCAGACCATCGTGTTTGCCGAGACAAAGAGGAAAGTCGACGACCTGACCAGGAAGATGCGCCGCTACGGGTGAGCAAACGGCCATTGTTCTTTAGAAGCTTTATACTAATAACATGAACTCTCCAGCCAAGTTATAGTCCAAAGATAAAAGACAAATACTGTGCACTGACACGACATTTCGGGACCGATTCAGTCTTTTCTTCAAGGGGCGACTACTTGGCCGACTCTGAAGCTTACTATTTTTCTTGGCGGTGTCGCCTTCTCCAACTTTCATCTTTGGACTATAACTTGGCTGGAGAGTTTGTTATTAGTATGAAAGCTCACCCACCCAGACAAATATCTGATGAAGATGGTCACCTCTTCCAAAGCTTGACGTTGTGTAATCTCTTGTATTCGTTGTGGCCATATTTTTATCGTACACGAAGTGTAGTCTGTTGATTGGTGAGCATAGCTCCTTTTGTTAGTGTGGTCAAGTGTCGAGCCTTCCCTTGTGATGTTTTCTGAACAGCAGAGTTGTCTGTCTTACATTTTTGTGTACTGGCACAAGGCAAACAGCAGTTATGCACTTCCCTTAGTCCTTTGCACCTAGTTTTGCAGCACTTTACGTAAAGTACAAACCTGTGCATTCACACTTTAGAAACATCTCTTAGTTTCACCCTTACCTTCCCCCTCTTTGCTACAGGTGGCCAGCCATCTGCATTCACGGGGACAAGACTCAGCAGGAGCGTGACTGGGTGCTCAATGGTGGGTACCACTCATCACTCCCTTTTTTGTTTTTTGGAACTAGGGGAAGCTTACCAGGCCCTGTTGATGAAAACTTGCAGAGTTCCGATCTGGAAGGGCACCCATCCTTGTTGCAACAGACGTGGCTGCGCGTGGTCTCGGTGAGTAAACCCACTTTCTGTGTGTCTAGCAGTCTAATCTGCAAATGGGCCCATGGAGGTGGTTCCGAAGGGGAGGTGGGGCTGCCGCTTGTGTGGGAGTGGGTGCTGCATGGCAATTGTATTAGCGGAGGCGCTCGGTTGACTTTTGCTGTTGAATAAGCTTTTAATTGTAACTAGGGGGAACCAAAGGGAAATTCAGTGGTGCATGCTTATAGGAATTAGTTGTCAGAATGCAGCGAAATAGGTACACTGGATTGGGGGAGGGGCTGTTCTAAAGCAGCGGGACTTGTGTTATAGGTGTATAACTTGAAGTCTGCATAAGACGTTATATTAGAACTTAGCCTTGAACAGCATATATTTTAAAGATGGTGTAACGCTTGACAACCCCTATGATAATGGTACAGATCGATAGTGTTAATCAAATAGTGAATACATGAGCATGCAATACATGTATGGCTGATAACAACCATCAATGGCAAAGAAAAACAAAAGTGGGTACAGTCCAAGCTGCAGGTTTGCATTAATTTGAACAGAAACGGGAATATAACTGAAAGTGTAGTTGCTATAGGTTATACAATAAATGCAGCCTATGCAATTTGTTCGCTCTGTAGATAAGTATTCTTAACATTGGATAACATACTTAAGGGCAGGTATTCCTTTCTGGGTGGTTGTATTTGCTTTGAGAATCTCTGTTCAGGCTATTTGATGCATTTCGCTGTGGCATAAAGCATAATTCGTGTGCGTGCAGTAGCATGAAATGCAAAAGGGCAGTTCATTTGAGTTCTCACCTTGTCATTGCCGAGTTGGCTACTGTACGAGACTCTCGAATTTCTCATTGGTAAGGTGGAATGATTGAATTGTGTTGATCAGCGACAAGCTTAAAACTACGAGTAGCTGTAGTGCAGACTGTTTTCATGACCACAATGCTCCAGTAAAGGATAAAGCAGTGGCTTGGTAAAGCATTTCCTGAATAAATATGGGTGGGTTGAACTTCAAGCGAAACAGTAGCGTACAAATGGTATGTAAGCAACGTTGATGTGGCCATTCAATAGACCCACGAAAAGCACCCACTATTGGGTTGTGCCTGTGTTTGCCCGCTTGCATTTTATGCAACTGCACAGGGCAGGCATGCAAGCAAAGTTTTTGTAATGGGCCAAACTGTTTTTGGCACTGTCTGTGAGGCAGGGTAGGGCACAGATGTGTAGCCTATGCGTTTGGATTGAGACAGCTGTGGGGTATGGGGGGGGGGGTAATGGTTTTGTGGGAGACCAGACGCTGACTGACGTGTCCTGGTGTTTCCTTTTCTTTACAGAGGCACTTGTGTGGGCCCCAGGTTGTCCATACGCAGTGCCTCGCTTTGCACTGGGCGGGCCTCCCTGAGCCACATTTAAAAGGACGGTGGCTTCCATTGAAGGCCCGGCGGGCGCAAATGAATTTCTGGGGAGAAGCATTGTACTTGCACGAAAAGAGGCGCAGACGTCCAGATGCGTCTCTGTGCCTCAAGTAACGGCAGTGCATATTTTCCAAATTCAACCTTTATCCGCTTCTCAACTGGCTTCGCTGGAGCAGCGGTCTGCCTACTCTTCGAATTGCTCCATTGGGTGCAACCTTGAGAATAATGGGATTGCAAAAAATTACGATTGTTGTAGCAGCCGGGGAAGTTAAAAGGGGCAGAATCGGACTAGATTGTGGGTGTGCTTTGGGGCCACCGTTGAAGCGAGGTGGGCAGGAACATTGTCACACAATTGGGCCTGTAACGGTGCATAGCACACCGACAAGTGCAAAAAAGAAACAACGCGGAGGCCGCCGTGGCAGAGTGAGTGGTGCGGCGCCAGGGGTTGTTGGCCTAGGCCGATGCCGCTGGCTGGCTAACAGAAGGCGGTGCAAATGAATAATGGCCGCTTGACCGGTGGCCGTGCGCGGAGAAGGGGCGCCCTCCTACGCTGTTGAGGCGGCGTCCTGTCTTCCATGTGCGCACGCACGCCGCCGCCAAACCCACACCACCCCTCTGGCCGACGACTCTGAAGGCCACAGCATGGCCCTGTCTCTCTCGCAAGGCAGCTGCAGGTAAATTTAAGTGCGCAATTACTTCTCTTACTTTTTTATCATTCTATTACATTTCTCTGCGTCCTGTGCTTCCTTGTACCTCTCGTCTTCTGGGGGGGGAGCTGCACGCCGCCTAAGCTTTTTTCACTTGCCATGATTAAAATGTCTAGCCTGGTTGAGGACACGTGCCTTGTGTTTGTAGCATGCACTTTTGCTCGTTCGGCTCTGTGGGTTCCTTTGGGCTTTAGTTGGCACGATTAACCGACGAATAGGATTTAAGTCTAACATTTGAGGGTAGTTAGTTGAGGTTCACGACTGAGTGGCAGCAGAAACTATGCAATAAGACTGCAGAGAAATGAAAAGGATCCTTTGCGATGGCCCAATTGATGCCTGCAGTGCAGTCTCAACTCACTGTTTCTGAAATGCTTCAGGCCCATGTGCTGTACAATGTGCATACGTGTTCTATGTGACCAAAGCTCCATAAACCAAGCAACAACTCATAGGCAACGCTGTTTGCAGTCTTGTGTGCAGTTTGTGCTGCTGCTCAATTATGTGTAGGTTTTAAGGTTCTCTTGCTTCTGCTCTCATTGTGGTTGTTGGGTGCTTTCTCTACCTCTTGACATTGGAGAGTTTCTGTCCGCCATGATTTTGCGAAGTTTCTTCAGCTGCTTGGCCTCGCATGCATGCGTAGCTTCTAAGGTGGCTGCATCTAATCTAGGCGACACGCTAATGGCTTCAGTAGTTGCACTTGCGTGCCGCCCATAAGCGGGGTTACTTTATGTGGCCTAAATGCATATGACCTAAATTGGTACCAGCATTTTTCAAATGCTGTGCCCTGATTTGTTAGCGTGAAGCTTTTGGGAGGTTAATATATGCATCAGTGCAATGGATGAGCAAGCCGTAAAGTTGTCTTATATAACACAGTGCAAGACTTCACAAGGACCTGTGTTATCAGTGCAAAATGATGTAGGGCAGTTACATGCAAAATGACTCAAATGTACATCGTTGCTGCACATGTGTGTTGAGCAACGAAGTTTAGTCCTGGGCTTCACTATGTAACTGTGAATGAGCTTGTATCCGTCAGGTAGTCTTTTTTTTTTTTTGCGAACATAGGTCCCTTCATAGACAAACAAATCCATAATTGATCAGTTGCATTCATCTAAGTTGTCGTTAGCGGGGAGTACACGGGTGTAACAAACGCGGGACAGTAATCGCTGCGCGTGGCATTGAGAGGCGGCAAGATAGTTCATTGGGTGGGCATCACTGCATCTCCTGTAGCTGTTCCACGTCTTTGGAAAAATGTGGTGGTCAATATGGTGCAGTGCATTTCTACTTGCATTGATGTTTGGAGAATGCTGGCAGCATTTCTCTTTGTGAGCCTAGCACAAGCTTGAAAAATAGCATGTGGCATACAACTTGTGTAACATATTCTGTATATCAGTTTGTGGATCGCAAATGTGTTGAGCATTAGAAAGGTGGGACTTCTCTCGGTATTAGTCTTCCAAGTTGTGAAGTCAAATTTCATGGTCACAACTGGCCCAAGATTGGATTCATTGCTTTTTTTTTCTGTGCTTGGTCGGGGTGGTATTACAGATGTGGACGACGTGCGGTTCGTGATCAACTTTGACTACCCCAACTGCTCGGAGGACTACATTCACCGGATTGGCCGGACTGCGCGTTCCAACAAGACTGGCACTGCCTACACCTTCTTCACGCCCAACAACAGTCGGCAGGCCAAGGAGCTCATCTCTGTCCTCCAGGAGGCCAACCAGGTCGTCAACCCCAAACTCTACGAGATCGCCAATAACTCCCGAGGTGGCGGATGGGGAGGCCGTGGAAGTGAGTCTCTTCCTGTGTGGAACTTCAGTACTGTGTAATTTTGAGATGGGCATTACATTTTAATCTGGTCCCGTCTCGAGGATAGTTTGTCGTATTCAAATATGCAGCAACAAGTGGAGAGTTGCAAAGGCGCTCGGTTTTAGGTACATTTCGCTCTGCAATGTTTCATGCTTCCTTAATTTTCTTGGGTGTCTGGCTGCTCTGGGTAAAGACTGTATTTTAACCAATGGGGGAATCATTAAATGGGTCGCCGGATCACACTTCAATAGTGGCAATGAGCTGAATGCACCGGTTACATGGGTGTTTCGTCAGGCAGAGAGCCCTAGGTTTGAACATTATAGATGCTGGCCTTTTCTATGCTAAATTGATGGCCATTCACAGCTTTGTGTAATCGGTAGATAGTTGAATGCTGCTAATTTCAGAATGACGTTATCTGTCTTGATTAACCCCTTTTGCGCCATGGATGTTCTTGGCTGGTTTGTGCCTATTTGGCGATGTGGTATGACGTTTTCTCTGTACGCCCACAAACTGGTTTCATTTTGGCACTTTCTGGCAATTCAAGGAACAACAGAGGTGAATAATTCTTGGGCCGTCTTTTCCATTTAGTGATGACATCTTAGCATGGCAATGGGTACTCTGCTTAACAATTGCACAACGTTCACGGGGTAACAGTTGATCGCCCTAGTGCTGTGCGCAAACTGTTATTACATACACTCAAGTGACACAGGCAGCCCTTGTCAACCTAACGCGATATGCTGCATCACCTTATGGTTTGGGGTACCTTGTTTGTCTGATAACAGTAACCATGCCAATGTTGTCTGGTTGTGGAAATTCCTCAACTCTGTATTGTAGCGAGTGTGTCTTTTTCCCCACTTGTTCGTTTACGTAGAGTTCCATTGACTGTGCCCGGCTTGTCTTTTCAGGCCGCTGGCGCTCGGGCGGCAACGGCAGCTCGTGGAGGTAACTTGTCCTCTTTGTTCCAGGCCGCTGGCGCACGGGCGGCGGCGGCGGCAGCTCGTGGAGGAACTCGGGAGGTGGCAATGGCAGTAACACCCACACACACTTCGCCAGCGGCGCCAACAGCGTCTCACTCGGATCCAGAGACATGAACGGCTACGGCCACCAACAGAACAGTTACTACTCTGTCTAGTTGGAGTACATCTGTAAACAAATTCCTAGGCTTCTTCTCATTGTCAAAACTGCGTTTCGACCAGTACCACGGAGGAAGGCGACCCGCATCCCAACTACGCACATACACCACTCACATGTACATCAATCATCTTTTTGGGAGGGGCGTCCAGGGCTGGGCAATTTAAGGGGAGACATTAAATTTTTTTATTATCATTAAGATGTTCAAATCCTTAAGTCCTTGTTGTCAAATGGGACGTTTGTTTCTGATTGCTTTGATTGCTGTTATGGCTGAATTGATTCATGCTGAGTGCCTTGTGTGTACACCCTTTTTTGCTTTCCAGCTGACAATGTTTTGAAGTAATTGCAAATTAACATTTTGGTATTGCCTTAGGTGTTTTCTGAAGTCATTCAGGTATCTCCACTTGCAATATGGTGGCAATTGTGCTCGTTGACTTCATTGAATATTACATTTTTCAAGTCATCATGGCTCATACAGTAGTTCCTCGCTTCTCAATCATGCTTCTAATATCTTGTGTGAGCATGGGGCATTTAGAAAGCCTCAGATTTCACCAGTCTCCCCTTAAATGTTACCGGTGTCTTTTTTTTTAATTGCCACATCCAGTTTCAGTGGTTTGTCTGTGTTCTTGTTTAATGTTGCAGCTTCTGCCATTGTGTTAATTTTTTTTTTTCAATTGCCTAAAGGCTAGAAAAGCTCGAGGCACAAAGACTGTCCTGCATTGTGATATTTGGAAAGAGAGAGGCTATGTTTTGTGTGCACTCCCCTGCGCAAGTGTTGTCTAGGTGTTTCTGAATTCTTTTTGTAAATTATTGTCTCTCATCTTTGCACTTCCAATGCTGATGTCTTGGGAACAAGTCTTTCTTCTGGTTTGCTTAGGCCCTCTAAAATCTCGTATTCGGGGTGTTCCGTCTGTGCGAGTGGTAGAAGTAAACTTCGTGGACAAACACTTAGTTTAACATCTTTTTCCCAAAAAGTCTTCATTTAGGTCGCTGCAGTCGTTATCTGAACCGGCCTCGTGTTTGGTTCCTCTTTTGGGGAGGGACCTGCCAGTACAGACGGCTCGTGCATAGTGCAAATGAGACTGCTGGAGCATGTACGAACACCAAATGCTAAACCAGCGTCCTTGCGGAGGCTCTAACGTTAACATCTGGAGCTTCTGTTTGTAACAAGTTGAAACAGTTTTTTTGGAGAGAAATAAATGCTGGTAAACGACTGGTGTGTCATTGTGTCTTTTTGGGTGTTATTTTTAGAGCGGTAAGCTCGGCCTCTATTACGCCTCTATTACCCATTATTGCACCACCTCGGTTGCAATCGAGCTTGCACTAGATCATGTGTTCAGCTATGAGGATTCGAAAATGCAGCTTTTGACAGAGCGCTGGTCTACTATTGCAAACCACATGCCAATATCTGGTTCATCACCTCCGGGCCTTCCTTTTTCGATCACTTGCATTATGAAAGTGCATAGGGGTTCATGCGTGTGTAATTGAAGTGGCCTCGTGAATTTTTTGAGCAAGTATCAAAGCTTTGGTATTAGTGGGGCTATATTGTGGTTTGTTGCTTGGAAAAGTTGCGAATACAGGATTGTTGCTGCAAATCACAATGCCTGGGCTTTCAACAATTGATGTTAACCTTTATCCGGAAGGTTTTTTTTTTTAAAACAATTGTACTCCGGTAGGGTACTTTTTGGTACACCTCGGCATGGTCTGAAAATGTGCCCAAGAACACAGAGGAGTTTATGGTGGATCGTGCATGTAGTCCTAAGAGAAAATAGCGACACCTCCGTGGAGCCAGTGCTGCTCATTTTCAGAGCAGAAGCAAGCAGGAATCGGCGTGGAGCAAAGTATAATGATCCAATGTAATGAGTGAAACGAGACGTTTTCATGGTATGCTCGAGAATGAAATTACATCCTATCCGCATCTGGCGGCACCTGTGTACCTGACGGAAAGTCCTTAGTATGGCACAGTAATGGCGGTAGACATGGAGGAAGAAAAACTTGAGAGGTCCTGACGTCACTCGTGAAGCCGGAAGTCGGCCATATTGACTGGGCGAATTCTCTCTCTTGTTTGCATAGGATAAAGCAGCAGGCACGACTCTCTCTCCGACTCGGAAAGCACGTGGGCTATGCTGCGCGCGTGTTGTGACGATCCGAAACTAGTAGAACGGGGCTCAACACTCTGGGCCAGAGCCGACACCTTCGGCGGAATCGTTTCGTCCGAGTATTAACAGCGAGTACCGGCTCGCCGACTACGAACAAGTACAAGAGAACGCGCGCTAGATGCACTGAAACACAACTGCGAGTGTTTTTACGTCATTAATTCAAAGACGAGACAACACGATCGGTCGTGCGCCTCCTACGGTTGCATTCCGACACGAGGCCGACGCAGCGCCCGGCCACTGTGCCCGTGTTCCGCGTGAAACTCCCCGGCGTCAGCATTCTGCGACCGTAGTTGCTGAGCACAGTGCAAGTGACACTTGAACGCGGTTGCTGTTACGTTGATATTACATGCAATGCTTGGGGAGAGTATACGAAGCGGAAGAGAAAAGGTGTTTTAATACGCACATGCAAGTTGTTACTGTACACACACAACACGAAACTACGTATGTGCACATGGTCCTCACGGCGTCTTGCTGGGCTCAACAGCGTCGTCCGTTGTCACAAGCGGGAGCACCGCCCAACCGTCACTGACCTGCAAGGCGTTCGTCGTCGTTCCGCTTCGTCATGGTGCCCAACGCAATTTCGCTGAACACTAATTGCTTCATCCGCGTCATCCGCCGCACGACATATGGATATGCACTCGTTCTACGCACTGTTGAAACCCCGTGATGGACAGAAAGATTTGTAAACGTTGCTAAGAGTACAGTAACTCCCAGGAGAACACTGCGTAACCAATAACGCAGCGCAGAGCACGGATATTGTCCGCCACGGCTCAGCACGAGACCTGGGGAGGCACACATGCCACCGCCAGCCGCGGCCGCTCACTGCTACACCAGCTCCAATGCGCACCACATAACCATATCAACGCGGCCATTGTGCCCAGTGAATATGGCCGCCATGATGTAATTGACTCCACACTTTTCACGCCGCGCGCCGGCTGGGCATGCCCTCTCCTACCTTTCCTTGCTCCGTGGTGCCCAGTGAATATGGCTGCCATGATGTCATTTCCTCCACATTTTTCACGTAGCGCGCCGGCTGGGCATGTCCTATCCCATCTTTCCTCCCTCCCTGATTAAAGAGCAGCACTGCAGTTCGTAATGGCGTGCCTCGACCCTAAGGTTGATGTCATTGCAAAAGAACTGAATCTGCAGTCGTAATTGAGTTCTCGAGAAGCGGAACAGCCATTGTGGTACATAGTAGCGTCTATGCAGTACAAATAGACTACGAAATTAGAAAATCTGTGCTACACTTGCTACGCTTTCGTTCAGCTCGTGCACAGGCAGCGTACTCATACAATAAGGAAAAAAAGCAGCAGAAGCTCGGGTCGTTTTAGGAGGCAAAAGGCGAGTCTTACCGTGTGGTGAGGGGTGTGCAAATAGAGAATTTTCGAATCGAAGTGATGACAAGGTGTCAAAACAAATTTAACACTACTAGAATATGTTTTGAATAGCAAGGCAAGCATATTTAAATCAGTACGATTGATGGACGAAAATCGCACCATCTCCCACTAGAGGAAACCATGTGTAGATGCGAAGCCGCGGGCGCTGAAGCTTAGGAGATAAGCCTGGGGAGGTGCAAAGCCCACAGTGATGGGCCGGTGTTTCCTACTGGAACATGCCAATCGCTGGTAATGGGATATGAGAAACAGAAGACTCCGATTGGACACATGTACCCGCAGTCCTCTTTTAGTCGACGCGCACGCTGCGAATTTTTATTGTTCAACAATGCACAGGAGAAACCACCTCCACATGCCCCGCCGCGGTGTTCAAGTGGCTAAGGTGGCTGACCCGCAGGTCACGGGATCTAATCTGGGCTGCGGCGGCTGCATTTTCGGTGGAGGCGAAAATGACGTAGGCTCGTGTGCTCAGATTTGGGTGCACGTTAAAGAACCCCAGGTGGTCAAAATTTTGAAGCCCTCCAGTACGGCGTCTTTCATATGCATACCCTTTTGAAACGATCCGTATGCGATGTCCAATAATTCCGTATGTTTCCGCATGAATACATATGTTTCCTATATATTTTCCACATATTTCCGTAAGATTCTTACGGAATCATACGGAATTATTGGACATCGCGTACGGATCGTTTCAATAGGGATATGGTGGTTTTGTGACGTTAAGCCCCACATATAAATCAAATCGAACCTCCCAACGGCACGCGCATGCGCAACGGGGGTGTAAACGCCGCGGGTATGAATGGAGAGAGAGAGGGGAGCCAGCCTAGGTTAGCAGACGCTTCCTACTACGGTAATGCGAGGGAGCGACCGTATACCGAATTTATCTTGACCTTAAACTGCTTCGCATCTAAAAAATACCTTATGTACTAATGTGAGCAATATGAGCTCGAACACGCAAACGCGTGTGGAATAGCCTCGAACCCTTCATCGGCTGACATGCAGCGGCCTCTGTGGGAAACAAAGTGGAAAGGGCGGCGCGCTTACGCTAGCTGTTGACACTCCCTCCTGGATATCGTTGCTGCAAAATGCAGTTTATAGCATGTTAGCTGCTAGTGGGCTGCTGTCGGTGATATGAATTCACTTAAATGCGCACATCCACAACCAGTTGACCGAGCAGGCTATGAAGCTACAAAAACATCGGCTGTGACGTAGCCGACCGTCACGCAAAGGCCGTGCTTTTATTGCATCTGGATGGTGTTCGCTGAGCATTTTGATACGCATTCTCGTTTTCGGTGAATTTTGCATTTTCGTGTTATCATTGCTAGCGGCCAAAGCCTCGCGATAAGCTGCCGTTTAACAGCAACGATCATACGGGGATGGTGATGCGGGAGTGCCAACAGTCAGCGGAAGAGCGCCCTCCTTCCCCCTCCAGTATCGGCAGCGCCATCCTCGTATCACGTCATCTGTATTTTGAGGCTCTTGGCCACGCACTCGCGCTGTCGAACTCATATTGCTCACGATAGTACAGCGAAACCTCGGTGATACAGTCACGGTTCGTAAGCATTTCGGGGTGATGCAAATGTTCTTTGACGCTGGCCGTGTTTAGAATTGCTGGTGCCGTGACGCACGCAAAAAAATAAAGAGAGCGAGGTAAGAGCCAGCATCCCGGCCAAGGCCTGCAATGTAATGGAGTACGGATGCTGCGAACGGATCTTCACTCCACTGTGTTTCACACGAGCGTACGAACAGGTGTTGTTTCCGCTGTCGCGGTAGGCTCGACTGTATATGGTTACTCTAGACTCGACCAGCACGCCGCGCCACCACGCGGTGTAGACTCCGAGATTGTGTATGCAAATCTTGATGACCTCTATGCAGATGGCGCTCGTGTCATAATTACAGATGGCGCTAGCGTCGCACTTTTTATAGTCAAGTGCGCTGACGCGTGCTGTTTTTTTAACGTTGTGCTGTGTTTACACGCTGATGCAAGCCACGTCCTCGTGCATCAGACATCCCATGAAAAGGTAGATGAGGTCCGCATGAGGATACGGCCATATGCGAAAGCTTCAATGACACAAGCCGCTGCCAACTATGTAGCGATTGCATTGTAGTAATCCACCATTTAAACTTCTCGAGTAACACAATACAATAAAAAGTATGCATTAAGTGGTTGAAGTACTACTGCCGCTGCCCAGGCTGTCGAAATTTCGAAAGGTCTCCATTACGACACCCCATCATGTTGTGGTTATGGGAAGTAAGACTCCAGGTTTTTTAAATCTCATATATTCAAAGCAACTACGAAAGCTGTCAATTAATCGGCGAGAAACTCACAGGTAAACTCATCGATACATATAATCGATAAGCGATGTTGGGTTGAGGTTGGCTGACCACGACGCCGACGAAGAAGAAATAACGAAGCACCGCAGCACGCCGACGCTGCCGGCGTCAGCCACCCACTACTTCAGCCCAGAGCACTGAGAGAAAGAACGTCCGTCTCGCACAGCAGCTCGTGACCAACTCTTTTATTTACACATGTATACATATGAGACAAAACACCGCCGCACGAGGCGCCACTTGACATCAAAACAAAAACCAAAACTGAAAACGAAACTTAACAGCACAACACATTCGGACACCTTTATTTAAGCACCCAGTTCAAGGATACTGCGTCTTAGTGGGTAAGTGCCACCATTCGAAGGGAAGACAAACAACATGGCGTCTGCCATGTCGAAATTCGGACGAACCAATGTGGATGTGAAGTGGCGAGCGTCGAGCACACGTCTGTAGTATGCAATGCCGTCAAGCTTGGTGGCGACGCGTAAGGGAGCCTCATTTCAGACAAGGGGAAATCTACGGACGGCGCGCACCGAGGAAGTGGCGATACGGACGAGATCGTAGTGTAAGCCAGCTGTAACACGCCAAGGTCCTGCGAACAGGTATGTCGTGAAGGAAAGATGCCTACAGAAACCCTCACCTGCATGCACAAAGAATAATTGCACAGCTTTTTTTTAAGCACAAAAGCGACAGCACATGAAAGACGACAGGAGAGATCGCTAACCGGAAAAAGCGTATATATATTGCGTTGTCGTTAGGCTTCAGGAAAGATGTATTCACACCTACTAGTCCGCCAACGGACTGTGTAGAAATATAAGTGGTTGTATGCTAATGAAAAGTGAGAGTACATTGGATGTTATCAGCAGTTGTTATGACGTAAAAGTGAAGAAAGCAAAGTGGAAGGTAAGATAACTCGTGGCTGGGAGGGACTGAAGCTGCAGCTCTCCAAATAACGTGTCCGATGTTGTGCCAAACGAGCTACAGCGGCGCCCATTCTCTCGTCTACATCAATGAATATATTTGCGTTAGCGCCGATAGCAGTCGCGGTGGATAATGTGGAACACACTTTCGTCAGCCCGCTGGCGTCAGCTAGCATGTGACGCCAGCGCGGACACACACGCGCACACATCTCGTATCGACGCGGTTGAACTGGACGCCGACGTAAAACAAAGGACCCGGAGCACCAGCTGGTAGAAGCAGGAAGAGCAGCAATTCAGACCTCAGGCGGAACTGTCTATGGACAAGAGCGTCTCAATATACGCCCCCCCCCCCTAAGGACGCCACACACACACACACATTCCTGTGTGTGTGTGTGTGTGTGTGTGTGCGTGTGTGTGCGTGTGCGTGCGTGTGTGTGCGTGTGTGTTAAAAGTGCGGCTTCTCAATGTTCACCCTCACTGCTGCTTCACAATCTCTGTAATGTCACTATAGTGTCTCTCTCACACACCCGTCTCAAGGCCTTTCTATTCTCGCGAATTCACGTGACACGGGGTGTTTGTAACGCCACGCTCGACCCCACAGACCATCCCCTACACGTGTGCGCAGAGAGCAACGAAACCAGTTGGGAATCGACGGTCGCGTTCGTGTGTGTGTGTGTGTGTGTGTGTGTGTGTGTGTGTGTGTGTGTGTGTGTCGGGTCAGTTTCGCATCGCGAGCGATTGTTTACATGTAAGTTATCCTTCATGACACGTGAACAGTGGGCGTAGATAGGCGCAAAGAAAAAAAAAGAAAAAAGGGCGGGAGCCAATGTTTGCAGACAGTCACTCCGTACGGTCCAAATGTTTGTTTCGTTTTGAAACCCCTCTTGCCCATTGTATACGGGGGTGCCTGCGTCCCAATCTTATCAATCACTCTGATTCGCAGCTACCTATAAGGGCGACAGAACTTAAGGGGGTGTGATCCCGTGACTTGTACCTTCTCCGTCTCCCCCTTTCTTCACCGCATCTTATCGGGATCGCCCGATAAAACTCCAGAACGTCGCTTTCAGCGTCGCGGTCGCTCGCCCGCCTTGTGAGCCGATCGTTGCCGTGAGTCGATTTTGTATTTATTTATTTATTTATTTATTTATTAGTGCAAGTGGCCAATATTGTAGGGGTGGGGAGGTAAGAAAAAAAAAAGCTATAATACAGTCAAACAAAGCGCACGCTCGCGCCGTCGAAAATGACATACATTTGCGCAGCGGCTCCTGCGCATTCACAAAAACTTGCTAACTTCTTCCATCGCCCGCTTTTGACTTCTTCGCCTCGTTCAACACGCTTTCTACGCTTTTAAATACATGAGAGCATCGTTCATACCGGGGGTGTTCCCAGGAATCTTTTTTTTTTCTGGAGGACGCCATGGTGGGGGACGTAAATACACCACCTTTTATGTATACGTTCGTGGGAATGCGAATATACCGGTTGTTTCAATAAATGTGTCTGAAATGTTCAGAAATCATGAAAGTGCGATACTTCTTTGCTGCCTAGAATTGGTTTTTTTTTTCTTTATGTAGCGACAGGTAGCTCTAGATGACTTAAGACACGACTTTGGACAGTGACTAGAAACGTCGAATAAATAAGCTTTCTTAAATACTGTCCCAAGTATTTCTTAGTGTTTCTTAATTACTGTCAAGCTTATTGCCGCTACATAGCAAGCAATTCTGAAGGTGGAGAGAATGGATCGCATTTCTTTTGATTTTTGAGCCTTTTAGACAAATTTGCTGAAACACCCAGTAAGGTGATCGAGTCGAAATTTCCGGAGCCCTCCACTACGGCGTCTCTCATAATCATATGGTGGTTTTGGGACGTTAAAACGCCACATATCAACCAATCATCAATGAAACACCCAGTATATGCACATATACGGTGTACACTAACGCCTGCCCAAAAGCGAAACATTTTGCGGGAGGGGGAGGGGTTTTGAACACCGCTCTTTCTTCCTGATACGACAGCGTTGTTGATAAGTTCACGTTCATTCGCGATAGCGTTATCAAGCGAAACTGCGCGATGTTTAGGCGAACGTAAATTGTACGCTTTCCCTGATAGCACAGTCGGAATCACGCTTGTCGAGAGCGGCCAATAGGCCGTTTCGACCGCCATATTTTTCATATCTTTTTGCAATAGTGCCCCGCCATGGTGGTCTAGCGGCTAAGGTACTCGGCTGCTGACCCTCAGGTCGCGGGAGTGAATCCCGGCTGCGGCGGCTGCATTTCCGATGGAGGCGGAAATGCTGTAGGCCCGTGTGCTCAGATTTGGGTGCACGTTAAAGAATCCCAGGTGGTCGAAATTTCCGGAGCCCTTTACTACGGCGTCTCTCATACTCATATGGTGGTTTTGGGGCGTTAAACCCCACATATCAATTATCATTTTTGCAAGAAATATGCGGATGCTGACGCCGTACCGCGAGAGCACCAAACAGAATCGTAGCTCACGCTATAGGAGCTTGTAGCTTGCGCGTGTTAGCAGCTCTTGTCGGCGCCAGCGTTCACAGCCACGCGCTCGGCCCCTCTAGACTAGTGCCAATGGTACCTTCTCGAACTAATGATGAGACCTCGGCATTTTGCGCCTAAGCGTTTGCGGGGTTGACCTACAATGTGGAGGTGGGAGAATATTCATCGCAATGAATATTCCTCATTAAGGTCAATGTATGAAGCAGGCATTGCACCCCCACCCCTCTTCTATGACAGGGGGGGGGGGGGGCAGCAGCTGCTCCTACGCTCCTTCTCTCCATATGGGGTCTGGGGTAAAGCACTTAGTGGTTTGAGAGAAAAGCATAGTATGGTGTACACGTGCTGTAACGTCGTTCTTAAAACAGATAGCGGGCATTAAATGGCTGATGGAACACTCCTCGGGCTTGCGGGGAGGGGGAGAAGTGATTTTAAAGAAAAAGAAAAGTGAGCCCTGTAACTGTCTCTCATGGGGAGGACACCTCCACAGTAGCTCATGAGCGGTGAGGGTAAAGGAGGGATTCAAATGATAGATTTGAAAGATGTATAGCTAGAGCGAGAGGAAGGAGAGAGCGATGCGCAGGGACAGCGAACTACGGAAGTAAGGAGAAGACAGGAAAGATGGACACGGTTGCGGGAGTCCGAGGAGGGGGCACCACTGGCGAGAGCTCTTGTCGGCGTCAGGAGATGGCGTAGGGCGAGCCCAGTCGGCCAGAGCTACGCTGTCGTCGGAGATCGGCGTCAGGAGATGGCGTAGGGCCAGCCCAGTCGGCCAGAGCTGCTCTGTCGTCGGAGATTGCGAGGGCACAGCCGGTCGGCACGACATCACATCTTGCAGATAGGAGGCGCTGCTGTGAACGCAGCTGAATCCCGCAGTCGTGAGCAGCAAGGAGAGCTCGTAAGCGGAGCGCGAATTCGTTGCCATTTTCTCGAGAGCGCTCCTCTCTTAAAGGCGTGTGCTCACTCTCTTCGGAGCTGCCGCCGCCTGCTCTTTGACGTCGAAAGGCAGATGGCGCGCCATTGGCCAATAAACGACATAAACTAAGAGCGCCGTTTGCGTCAGACGCGCTTACTGCCACGGCCTGCAGCCTCGTGCCGGCGCTGCGTTGCAGTTTACTAAAACGACACAATGAGCCACGCCCGAGTACAAAAATGGCATCGGGATAGAGCGATCGCCCTCTATCACGCGCACTCAAAGTGATGACGTGCGCTGACGTAATTTCTCTCCCCCCGTGCCACCACTCCCTGTGAGGCTTCCAGCTTGCTTATCGGGACGATATCGAAAACGCATAATAAGCGAGAGTTGAGCTAGTTTGTACGTATTCATTCTCAAAGGCGATGATGATGCTTATGGTGTTGGAGAGGGTGATGATGATGCTTTTTTTTTTTTGCGCAAGGGCCACTGTTGGCCAAAGGCGAGGCGTGCAAACGCGGACACCACAAACGCGTACATTAACAACTCAAGAAGCGCAGAACGGCCTAAAAAGGCACGAAAACTTATCTGCGAATTTTCATGCGAATTGGCAAACCTGTTGCCACCTGGTGTTCTGTGCCAGTGAACCATTTCGTGCAAGTATGAGGAAGACGAAGATGAGGCATCCGCGCCAGCCGGATAACGTTCTTTGTCGTGTCTGATATTTTGACAGTCGCGTCTGCTTGTACCTTTGTTCTAGCTCCTAGCGCTTGACCACTACCAAGCCGGCACGCGTGGTGGTCTAAGTAAAAGACAACTGTTAAAAAATTTGATTTGCGTTCTCCCTAGGGTTACCAATTCTTACATGCCGGGAGGTGGAGGGGGGGGGGGGGTGCGTAATATAGCGAGCTAGCGAAATCAGTTCATTATATATCTTCCAGACAAATTCGTTCTTTTTAGTAGCGGCCCCTTAAAGTAGTTCAGCTGACTACGGGCTGCTCTGGGTAGATGGTGTACTCGTGAAAGTTGTCGCACCACTTCACGCGCGAGTTCAGCTGAAGTGGCTAAAGCCTCTCGTATAGCCACCGCTATAGCCACCACAACATTGCTTTGTGCGAGCGATTCGTAAGGTGTCTGGGTTTCGGTTCCTGCTTTGGAACCGGTTGGCTGGCCCCCAGGGGTCGTTGTGCTTGTACATATGTATATATAGTGATGCTTGTGTCCTATAAAGAGAGTTCCTGTTTGGCTAGCGGCTGCTGCGTACCTCGTGTCGGCCGGCGCTTCAGCGCCGTGCCCTGTGTTTTCCTTAGAAGTGTGGCAGCTTGGGCTAGTTGGTATGTCATGACGATAGTTATAGCGTGAGAACAAAACGACGACACAGGGACAAGAAGGACATGAAAGACACGAGCGCTTTCATGTCCTTCGTGTCTCTGTGTCGTCGTTTTGTTCTCGCGCTATAACTATCGTCAGGCCTGTGTTTTCCGTAAGCGCGTCCGCCGCACGATACTACAATTCGTGGAAACTTCGCGTTGCTTAGCGTGAGGAGGCACGTCATTGGGCGCGTGTTGGACCACATAAAAATGTCTGACTGGACGGTCCGGGACAAATCCGGGACATGCAGTGGCCCCGACAAAGACGACGCGGAACTCGCGACCAGCACGTGAAAAGGCGGGACAGTCTCGCGAAATCAGGGATGGTTGCTAACCCTAGTTCCCACAGGTATAAACTCATGCGATGTTTTCTTTTTCAGTGTGCCACCGCATGGCCAGAAATAATGAGATCGCCAATTCGCACCGCCGTGTTTCTGGTAATGGCATTGAGTAGTTGGGGGACAACACATGCTTGCGTTTATCCTCGGATCGCTATGACAATGTAATGTGTTAACTTCAAGCGAAGTTATGTTGTTTTCTTGATTGCCTTTTTTTCAGCCGTTACGAAACAGACCCGTTGAAATCGCGACCGCCATGCGTCCAGGTCGGTCGTTCACTGTGGTCTCTGCTGTTCTGGCTGCACTTGCAGTGTGTGCTGTCGCGACTTCCCGGCCAATCATTGGTGAGTGCAAACGCGAACTCAGTGTGCAACGTATGTTTTCATGTATATACGTAGACCAATGATGAAACCCTTCTAATCAGGCCTAAATTGCTGCAAGATTGCAGACCCAGAAAACTGCCCCAGTTCCCACCCGATGTGAAATCTGCAAGACGCCTACGCCATCTTTGGGTACATGAGGGAACCAGAGCACGGGACATGCGACGTGGACACTCATCTTCTGTTAGGCCCGGGTACTAGTAGAGTGTATATACAGGAGGCATCAGAACGACTGGAAACTGAGATAATTGGTAGAGATCCACCGTAAAAGCCAGACGGTGTTTTTGCAAAGATGGTGCTAGAATTATTTCAATTGGTTCGGGGTAGGAAGGTGCCACCATTATTTCGGTGCGAGTGACGTGTAATAAGAAAGACATCAGCTATTGTCCGGAATGAGCACAGAAGATTTACTCACGCACGCATGTGATCCTCGAATCACTTAATTGTGCAGCTTCGATCATCACTTCAGACCGTGATGGGGTCGGTGAGTTAGGACGACAGTTTCTTGCAAGTTTCATTCGTTTCCCTTTTGATGGCGTTCACTCGGCTGGTAACGCTCCCACTGTAGACCTATCGTAGTGGCGTAGTTGAGGGTGGCATGTACGGCTTCATCGCTTCAAAGTCTTGGAGGCAGACGTTCAATACGTTGGTCAGGCAACTCATATTTCTGTCAGAAATACCCATGTTCCCGTTTCCGCAACGGAATTGTAATCAATACAAGGGAGCACACGCAATTTCCGTGACAGAAATGACGTCCCTAAAATGGCGTGCATGAGATTTCCGTGACGGAAATGACGTGGTAGGCTGCGGCATAAACGTTTCGCGTTAAAAACCTGGAGAAGCGTCTTAGAAGTTGGCTTGATCTTTTTTTTTTCGTACGTGATGTTCGCAGGTATCCTGGCCCAGGACCTCTACAGCTGCGCGATCTGTGGAATGCGAAATCAGACGTACATTGCCGCATCCTACGTGAAATTTGTCGAGCAAGCCGGCGCCAGAGTGGCCCCAATATTGTAAGATCATCGACATGGGCACTTTATAGATATATCATCATCGATGCGGGTTCTCACATTAATCTAACTGAGTGTCACATTGGGACTGTTCATTGACAAAGTTGTTAGTAGTTGGACATTGCCATGGTCTTAAAGGGGCATTGACACGGAAAAAAAATTCAGCCGTAGTTTTCGTTTATTGGAATGCGAATCGCTGAAGTTCCTGGAATATGTACGAGTAAGCGTGGGTGCACCGTTAAATATTAGTTACAAGGTGTGTTCAAATGGATGACAGTGCAGCAGCACTGTCATCCATTGGTAGAACGAGTATACTTTTGCTGCGCCGAGAGCAGCCAGGAGGAGTTTTCAGTGCTCTCGCCTGAAGCCCCGCCGCGGTGGTCTAGTGGCTGAGGTACTCGGCTGCTGATCCCGCAGGTCGCGGGATCTAATCCCGGCTGCGGCGGCTGCATTTCCGAAAAAAAGGTGGAAATGCTGTATGCCCGTGTGCTCAGATTTGGGTGCACGTTAAAGAACCACAGGTGGTCGTAATTTCCGGAGCCCTTCACTGCGGCGTCTCTCATAATCATATGGTGGTTTTGGGACGTTAAACCCCACATATCAATCAATCGTCTCGCCTGAAAAGCGGAATAGGCGCAGTACGACGAGTCGCGTGGCCTTTGAACGCCATATTCTCCGAATTTTTATTCAACTGGCGAGTGCGGTAGCAACGGTAGGAACCATGTGTGGTTTGAAACCAGTGTTCTTCTGTCTTTCTTTACGGGTGGCAACGACGGCAGCTGGGCGTCTGCCGAACGCGTCATTGCAAAACCAAGTATATTCGGATAATGAAGAACAAGTGATTGACCATTTCCATGCGTATTTTGGCTGCTGCCCCTCAGAGAACATGCCGGGACTTGGGATGTTTCGATCACGTGGTCTCCCCACTGGTCACCCTGTCGACTGTTCTCCGAGAGCATGCCACATTCCAGTGGCAGATCAGTGCTCTGTGCCCCAAGGCCGGATCCAGTTCCTCATTTTAGGGGTGGGGGCGGGGGCGGTCACCTTAAGTTACATACGAGAGGGGGCATGGTCATGACTTTTTTGTTTTTACTAGCAGAAAAACCACCTCATAGCACAAATACTGTTAATGTGTGCTCACAGTGGTTTCTCTGATTCGTCCTAATTGGTGATAGGAGGTGGACCACGAGAACTGACTTGAGGAGGAGGGGTGCTGACAGAGATTTATGGGGGGGGGGAGCGATCGCTCCTACCGCCCCCCCCCCCCCGCTCTGAATCCGCCAGTGTGTCCCCCGTCTGCCCTGCCCCTTTACTCCTGTTCTTTCAATAGAATTCCCCATAAGCCACCACATATCACGCGTTGCTATACAGGAAATAATTGTACGTTTAAGGGCTCGTTTTGCTTTCCTAGGTACAATATTAAAGACAACTAAAACACAATGGTGCCAGGAAACGTGTAGGGGATTTCATTAGAAGTAATTTAATGTAACTGTGAAGAAAGAAAAGTGGACGCAAAGATAACGTGCTGCTGGCAGAGACCGAACTTGCTACTTTCGAAACGCGTACGATGCTCTACCAATGAGCTACGGCGACGGTTATCCCTTCTTAATCCGAATTATAGTGTATATATGTGCATTTAAACGTGGAAGCGTCAGTCAGCGCCGCCAGTAGTCATTGCGGCTAAGTGGAACACTCTTCTTTTGCTTGTTGGCGTCACGCAATTCGCGCTATTATTACGAGCTGACAGCTCATAAATAATTCCTCGTATGTTACCTGAAGGCATCGAGTATGCCAGAACGAGACTCTCGCTGCGAATGAAGGAAAAAAAAAACTCCCAAGCATTTCCCCGAGGGTGAACATGGTTAAGTGCGAATACACGGGGTGATGCTATGAGGGGTATTTATTAATTCACACTATTATATTTATTAATCACACTATGGTGCCTTTATGGTGTAATGGTTCCTGGGAATGGCAATTTGATCACACGGGGGAGTTTACGTTAACTCACTGGCGAATGCCAACGGATTTTAACTTTACTCCCCCTCACGACCCGCTCTCGACGGGAGACTGAGAGAGAAGGCGGGCGCGCGAGAGAGAGGGGTGCGCGCGCAGCTGGTGGTGGTAGTGGTTAGAAGATGAGAAAAGGCACCTAATTTCTGCAACCCGGTCGGGAGCACGGCGCAGTGCCTGCGCAGCTGCAGCGAGCGAGGAGAGCGGAGGAGCGAGCGAAGGGGGAGGGGGTATAAGGCGCGTTACTGACACCGATATCAGCGTCGCGTCCGTGGCTTTTTCGGTAGAGCGTCGCGCTGCGGCCCGCCAAGTCCTCTTTCTTTTAAAGCTAGAGAGAAGACTGCGGACGCCGCCGACGGCGGTGGATGGTTTGGGGTCGCTTATAAAGTGTATTCACACTTAAAAAAAGTTTACTTACAGTGTAAGTAAACTTACAGAGGGCACAACGCCGAATTCACACGGCACGTGATAACGCAAAGCAACGCGTACATGCGATAGTTCTAGCGCGAGAACAGAACGACGACACAGAGACAAGAAGGACACGAAGGACACGAGCAGTGTCCTTCGTGTCCCTCTTGTCTCTGTGTCGTCGTTCTGTTCTTGCGCTATAACTATCGTCATGTCATACCAACTAGCTCAAGCTGCCATACTTCTAAGCGTGTGTGCGGTCAGGCGTTAAAACTACTTGAAAGTGAACGTCACCTTCTTATTCTTCTCAGTCAATTGTATCACGTTTGTTTGGCTGACTGAAAAAAAAAAAACGAACACTTGAATGTATTACAGTGGGCGATGAATAACCCCTCGCCGTTGTTCATTCTGGCTGAGTGCTTGCATGGTGGTTTCGGGTACCTGTGCTTGCTTGAAAAGACTATTATTAAAAAAAAAAACATTTATAAGTTAAAGTTGCACCGTAAAGGTTCGGTATAACGTACGCTTCATTTTTTTTTATTCCCCAATCATTCCAGTGTGGACCGTGACCGCAGCTACTACGTCAATATGTTCAACTCATTGAATGGGTAAGTGCAAATATTTCGAAAAATAGTTGATGAAAATAGTCGTCTCAAACCGGCGTAATAATGTTTTAAACTAACGTCTTGCATCTCGCAACCAGGGCCGCGAGTGACCTCGACTGCGAGAAGCGCCGTGAGTGGCGCTGCCTAACATTCTTGACTTGGAGTTATATATCAACAGGCGTGCTACAACTGTTAACGCACAAGACTTGTGGCTTGTATGAAGCCCATTAGCTTGTATTAAAAAAAAACGATTTGATATTGCTTATACTTCGCTTCCTTCTCCTTTGTCGTTGCATGTGGCCCCTAAGCCGTCATAAACCTAGATGATTTGCGACAATCTCACCAGGATTGCTACCATAATTTCAGAAGTCACTTTTTTCCTTTACGCATTTGATTAGGGTGACTAGAAGGTGAACGCCATCTTTTTCTTCTCCTACTTTTTAATCTGAGTCTATTGTATTGATCTCCCACGTTATACCCCGCCAGCAGGTATAGACACAAAAACATCTGTGCATGCTCAGGTATGCAGCTTCACCTGTGATAGTGTTATACATACATACATACATACATACATACATACATACATACATACATACATACATACATACATAACATACATACATACATACATACATACATGCATACATACATACATACATACGTGCATACATACATAGATACCCACATACATATACGTACGTACATACATACATACATACATTCATACATACGTGCATACATACATGCATACATACACGCATGCATGCATACATACGTACGTACATGCATGCATGCATACATGCATACATACATACATGAATGCATACATACATACATACATACATACATACATACATACATACATACATACATACATACATACATACATACATACATACATACGTACGTACGTACATACATACGCATCCACGTATATCTGCGCTCGGTTATATATTTCATGCCGTTCCTGTGACCTCTAAAAGGCAGCTGTTCTGGTTCGGGGCATAATTGGTGTTTGTTGCTAACGTTCTTTCGGAATAATCTATGCGCCGTTTGAAATCTCAAATATCTTTAGCACTCGTCGTGCTAGTGTGTTCCACGTTAGGCCTCAAACGCAAGCACTTTTCTTTTTCCTTTTGTTCCGTTACTCGTTACTGGACACAATGTAGCGTTGCGTACGTGAGCGACAAGTGGCAGTCGCTTCAGAAGCGATAACTGTGAGGCCTGAGCAGGCTATGCTTATGTTCGGTAACCATCATGTGCATTCCATCGTTCTACTATAGTTCGGCAGTGGCAGCGCAGGAACACAAGCCCGCAGCAGCACATTATGACACCTACGGTGTTTGTTTCCTCCCCGTGCCCTTGTACTATGTCACTTAATTCCTTACAAGTCTGACAACGAACCACCCAGCCCAACCAAAAGCACTGCTCTGGTTCGATGCATTCGTCTATCAGCGCTGCCTCGACCACGCTCCGCTTTTAATACGCATGTCCCGTTGTTGTGTTCCACGTTTACTTTTGACGGCGCGTTTCAAATAACGACTCGCAGCGTTTTGCTACCTGGCGGCGACGTGGACGCCCTGGACTCGAGCTACGGCAGAGCGGGCAGCATTCTCACCGAACTGGCAATGGAGGTGAGCTGGGCAGTTGGACCTAGTGAATTGAGCGATCACTCGCGTACACACTCCCTAAATCTGCCTCACTCACTCACTCACTCACTCACTCCAAGTCAGCTGCTCATTCGTATAATCATTCATGTCCACCCATTCTCACTCGCTCGCTCACACGCGCTCACTTTCACTCACTCATTCACCCGCCCCATCAGCCTACTCATCCATTCACACGTTCATTCATCATTCACCCAATCACTAAATCACCCTTTCACACAGCTACTTACACGCAATCACCCACCCATCATCTGACTCACTGATTCACTAGCTCCCTCATTCTTTCACTTATACAGTCGGTCATTAACCTTTCGTACACTCACTCGATCACTCACTCACTCACTCACTCACTCACTCACAAGTTTCCTTCCCCAGGCGCACAAGAACGGAACGCACTTCCCTATTTGGGGAACATGCCTCGGGCTAGAGCTTCTGGCGCGACTCGCTGTTGGCGGCCAGCAGGTGCTCAAAAAGTGTGCCGCCCAGGGCGTCGGCATGCCTCTGGAATTCGCCAAAGGTACGCTGGTCTCACGTGCTTGATTATACTTTCGTATAACCTGGCTCTGCATTGTGTCGTCCCTGTGTACTCTTGCCTTTAGTTGGTATTCTTCATATGTACTCTCTCTATCTCTCTACACCCTCTTTCTTGCCCCTATTTTTCCGCCCCCAGTGCTGGATAGTAGACCGGATGCTAATATCCGGTTAATCTCCAGGCATTCCTTTTTGTCTCTCTCTCTTATGTAATGATATTTCGCTTGGTAGCTCACTACCTTCTTCCATCCATAAACTTGACTCTTCGTTTGTCTTCCTGTTTGGCGTATACGTATGCTCACACTGACCAGGTGTAATGCTCGTGAAGGCCTTCACGTCAAATAAATGAAATAAAGATGTAGATGCATTGACATTATCTTGATATGGCGGCCTTTCGTGGCACGAGTCATTTGTGTTCGAATTGAATCATTGAACAAACACAGTACACCATCACAAAATGAGTGTCCCGGCTTGGTACAGCCGGTGTTGAAGTGCGACGCACATTTACATATAGGGGCTACAAAGCTATATAACATGCTTCGAGTGGTGGATCGTTTGGGACCTCTTGCTTGCAATATCTTGCTCAGTTAGTAGTTCGGGCAAAACGAGCATCCTGGCGGAAAGCCGTTCGTCCTTGGTTCCATGTCCGACGGTGCGTATAATTGTCAAACAGGGCCGGACGCAGCAGCCGCCTTCGCACCTGCGTTTCGCCAGCGTTTCGCCTGCGTTTCGCCTGTCCAAATCGCCTTGTGTGTGTGTGTGTGTGTTTTACATGCCCATTCCGCCGGCGCCTTTTGCCTCCTTATTACGCCTGTGTTTTCCTCCTGAGGAATACACATGCAAAAAAATACAAGTGCAAAACATGTGCGCATTACACTTTTGGAAAATACAGGCGGAAGACACGTGTGGATGGCACTTGCGGAATACACATTCGCTGTACAAACATGGAAGAAACATGTGGAATACATAAGCGGAATATGCGTTTGCGATGTACAGGCCAAAGATACATGCCGAATAGACATGTATAGAATACACAGGTGCAGAACACATGCTAAGTACGCAGATGAAAGATATACTGACGGAAGAGACGTGCAGGAAGGTTCATGTTGAATACACAGGCAGATGATACATGCAGAATACACAGGCAGAAGGCACATCAGCTATACACAGGCGGAGGTCTTAGTCGGTACACACAGTCACAAGACACACGCGAAAAAACACAAGTAGAAGACATACAGAATGCCCAGGTGAAAGATGCAGGTGGAAGACAGATACGAAAAGGTGTAGGCAAAAGACATGCAGAATACAGACTGGGTACACATGCGAAATACCAAGTGGAAGATACATACCTGAAATGTGCAGGTAAAACACATAGGCGGTAAACATCTGTGTCTACCGTCTGTGTGTATCTATTGGAATACACACGAGGAAAACATATTCGCAATGCACATGTGAGATAAACTGGCAGAAAACACGCCAAATACACACGTGGAATACACAAGTGTAAGTCACAGGCAGAAAACACGGGCCAAAGACACATGCAGTACACACAGGCGTAAGTTACAGGCGAAAACACATGCGAAAGACATGTGTGACGGCAAAAGTAGAATACATGGGCGGAATTTTCAGGAAGAGTACATACGCTGAAGACACATGTGAAAGACCAAGGTGCAAATCACATGCGTAATGCACAAAAGATGCATGCGATAGACGCAAACAGAAGACACATGCAAACGGCACAGGCATGAAAACGTGCGAAAGGCAGGCGGAAGGCACAAGGGCAATACACATAGGAAATACATAGGCACAGTGGGTATGCGAAAAACACACGTGGAATGCACGGACAGAAGACACATTTGAAAGACGCAGGCACAAGGCACATGTGGTGTATACACAGGCGAGAAACAGATGTGGAATACATAGTCGGATGAGAGGGCGAACTACGATGCAGCAGACATAAGCGAAATACAGAGTCCGCAACTGTGGATACACAGGGCACACAAGTCGGAGACACATATGGAAGACATAGGCCGACGACACACTCAAAAGGCATATGTGGAAGATACATGCCTAATACACTGGTGAAAATATTCAATGTGTATAGTGCACGTGTCTTTCGCATTCGCCTTTCAGCTGTGTCATCACCTGTGACTTTTACTGGTGCCTCACCTGCTTTCGTGGCTTTCGCCTGTATCTTCCACCTGTGTTTTGCCTATGCATTTCGGCTGTATCTCGTATCTGGTTCTGCTGCCCGGGTCTTTCGCCTCTTAACATAGCAGCGATGACGGCAGAAGCAAAGTGTTTACACTCGTTATGATTCAATGAGTAAATTGCCCACTAATTTACTCTTAATTAGTAAATTGTCCACTAATTTGTCTTAATTCTTGGTTTTTACATCACACCATGACTGAAGATTTCCGTCAGTCTCATCTGTACCACAGCCTTCCGGAGGATCTGGAGAAAGTGCTGAGCTCAAAGCCAGTGACGTACAACGCCCATTATTGGTGCCTCACCCTCCAGGTTTGTGTTAGTCGCAGCAATAGAGAATGTCGCTGCAGCCTGCAATACCTTTTCAACCGCTGTTGCATGCTCAAGGAGTAGCCTGGCCTTAAGAAAAGAGATGCGTGTATCACTGCTATCTCATTCATTTCAAATATGAAACATTTTTTTCAGAAACTAAAAGTATCTATCTATCTATCTATCTATCTATCTATCTATCTATCTATCTATCTATCTATCTATCTATCTATCTATCTATCTATCTATCTATCTATCTATCTGTCTGTCTGTCTGTCTGTCTGTCTGTCTGTCTGTCTGTCTGTCTGTCTGTCTGTCTGTCTGTCTGTCTGTCTGTCTGTCTGTCTGTCTGTCTGTCTGTCTGTCTGTCTGTCTGTCTATCTATCTATCTATCTATCTATCTATCTATCTATCTATCTATCTATCTATCTATCTATCTATCTATCTATCTATCTAATCTATCTATCTATCTATCTATCTATCTATCTATCTATCTATCTATCTATCTATCTATCTATCTATCTATCTATCTATCTATCTATCTATCTATCTATCTATCTATCTATCTATCTATCTATCTATCTATCTATCTATCTGTCTGTCTGTCTGTCTGTCTGTCTGTCTGTCTGTCTGTCTGTCTGTCTGTCTGTCTGTCTGTCTGTCTGTCTGTCTGTCTGTCTGTCTGTCTGTCTGTCTGTCTGTCTGTCTGTCTGTCTGTCTGTCTATCTATCTATCTATCTATCTATCTATCTATCTATCTATCTATCTATCCTTCCCGTCTTTGTATAGGTATTGCTATTTTGCCTGCGTCGGGTGTAATCTTTGGTCATAAGCGAGGGGAGTGCAGTTCGTTTCGCAGTTGTTGCTGCTCTGCCAGCATCACTTCTGCCAAAGGCAGGGCCGACATTGACCTGCTGCTCTTCAAACAGTGTCATACGCTACGGCTAAGGTTACGTTATTCGAAGATGCTGATGCCCAAATAGGCACTCCCCTTACGTCTTGTGCCCCGGCGTGGTGGTCTAGCGGCTAAGGCACTCGGCTGCTGACCCGCAGGTCACGGGATCGAATGCCGGCTGCGGCGGCTGCAATTTTGGTGGAGGTAAAATGGTGTAGGCCCGTGTGCTCAGATTAGGGTGCACGTTAAAGAACCCCGGGTGGTCTAAATTTCTGGAGCCCTCCACCACGGCGTCTCTCATAATCATATGGTGGTTTTGAGACGTTAAGAGTACCCCACATATTAGTATTATTGCGGCTTTCTGATGGGTTCACTAGTGCTGGGTATCATAGGCTAACTCTGGGATAGTACAGGCTAACTGTCGACCAGCATTGTTAGATAATGTGACAAGGCGTTCCTTTTTGGTGTTGCGACCCAGGACTTCGAGGCCTTCAGGCTGGGCAGGTACTTCAAAGGTGAGTGAATGATTGACGCTAGCTGTGGAGTGAGTAAGATGACGGAACAACTGCAAAACACCGTACAGTGCACGGCTCGATCCTCGACGGGAACTATATGGCACACATGACAGGCTTGAATTTCATTGTGATAGCAATTATATGGACACCATCAGTTGGATTTTGCCGTCGGCGTCGCCGTCACTCACCGTATATGTATACGTATCTATATATATGAACACGCAAGAAAGAAAAAAAATAGAATCCGGTGCACGGAATCAAACCTGGGGCCCCCGAGACGTGAGTGCGAGGCGTCAACCACCGAGCCACCGAGAAGCTCGTCCTTCAACGTTCAAACGACAAGGTATATTGTTACAAAACAGCCGCTAAACACGGTTGCATGAAAGAGGATGAAGTCAGTTTTCGTTGGGTGCTGGTCTGGCGCCATCTTGCTCGCCGAGTTCTGTGCGCTGTAAATAGATCATTAAACAAGTTACTCGTAACATTATCTACCACTTACCACTCGTGATGGGCATCTCGGGGGGGGGGGGGGGGAAGGGGGCGCTATCGTGTTTTCAGCATTACCAGCAGATGGCGCATTGAGCGCGTGGCAGCGCGCGTTCTAATCTCCCAGGCGTACTTTGCCCCTCAGAGTGGAGAAGGTAGATGCTCGCTTCACGCGCCCTTACCTCGCATTGGGGATGATAATTCGTCTTGGCTGACGTTGGGCTTTCACTAGAACGTTTCTGTTGTAGCTACCGGGCGCACAAAGGTCACTGCAATCGTTGCACCGTCTTCGTTTGCGAAAAGGGCGCGCTTTTCGGACACAGTGAAAGTAACAACTGAGACGCTTATTAGCGTTCATCTGTACCTGTGAGTACGTTTCCTGCGTCATTTGTGCGTGAGAAACGTGGGGCAGGTTTCGATCTGCTTGCCATTCGGCGCGTGACTTCCAATTTGTTGCTATCGCGTTCATTGCTTCGCCTTCGTGCAAGAGCTGTGACGTTTTTTTTCGTTGCATTGATCGTACGTTGGCGTAGTGCCTCTCGTGTAAGATACGTGCAGACGACGTTCGTGACACGCACGCACGCCTGTTGCATCGCAAGGGGCTGCAGTGAAAGTGTCATGAACCAGCAAAGAGGCTGTGCGTCTGTTCTTGTTTCATGTTGTAGAAGTTTATTTGAAGTGAAGTTTTTTTTTTCATACATATGGAGAAGCCGGGGCTAAAGGCTGGAGTGCCCAACAAAGGTCTCGGCTTCCTTGTACATTCTGACATCAGAAAGCACAAGCACGTAATTTTGCAAACATTACTCAAGGCTGCTGTTAAGCATGCAACGGTGACAATATAAAAATCATTATAAAAATACGAACTGATACAAAATACAAACTTAAACGAAGCACAAATAAGTTTGCGGGATCAAACGTTTTGCAGGCACGTATGACACGTAAGAGGCCACAGATAAATTGTCGCAATCCACAGACGACATTATGAACAGTTCTCTATTAGCCGAAAAAGAATCACGGAGCTGGGTATCTAAGAAAATTTTCTCGTGATACTGCTGAAGGCTACAGACGAAGCTACACTATAGCCATAAAACTAATTCATGGCTTCTTATCTGACGTGGAGTTGTGCTGCCCCAGACATTTTGGAGGGGCGTAAGACACACAGGAGGCTTCACGCAAATGGTTTCACGTATATACGAATGTAGACATGGTTTGCGATATATATATATAATATGAAAATTAATAACGACAAGAAAAACCTCACAGAAAAACATCTTTGCGCCGTGCCGCAGCCATTTCGTCCCCGGTGTTTGCGGTCCAGTTCCACCCGGAGATGGCGGCGTTCGAGTGGGGAACCAAAACTCCCGGACGACGCCACCTTTACCACAACAAGCACACCGCACTGTTCTCGCAGTATCTGGCCAACTTCTTCGTTGAGCAAGGTGCGACTACGATACGCATTCTCGTTACAGAAGAAGTGAAATGATGCTGCCATAACGCGCCGAGCTGAATTCGTTTAAATGATTAATTTAATTGATTAATTATTCGACCAATCAGTATGCGGGAAAATCAGTCCATCCTCGTTGCAAAGTGACACGAAGCTGCCATGTACAAAATGCGCTGAACCTTATCCCTTACGATCGATCGATCGGTCGATCGATCAATCAATCAATCAATCAATCAATCAATGACTAACTGAGTGGATAAATAAGTAAATATAGACAAAAGCTTTACTAATGATGATAACTGTCTAGCGAATACGGTGAAGTGGCACGTAGCCTTGAAACTCTCTGATGCTCCCGCTGAAGTCATATCCCAGACGCGTTACGCCGATCGAAGCTCACCGTGTGGATTGAGACGACGTTGCATATATGACTCTATTTTGCAGCCCGTCAGAACAACCACTGCTTCCAGGACGCCGAAGAGGAACGCAGAGCGCTGATATACAACTACCAACCTCTGTTCTCGCAAGAAGTGTCCTATTTCACTCAGATGTACGTCTTCAACTGAAAAAAAAGAACAAAACAAACAAAGAATCTGCCTGCCACCCGCAACTGGCACCCACCAAACTGTGCGCCTGATCTGAGAACGGCTACCCGTGAACGTGATGCATCGTCGCCAAGACAGTCGTCTGATTGGTCCATGCTGAGCCACATCACGTGACCTGGCAGAAGAAGGCTGGTAAAAAGACTACCGCGTGTGTGGTGACGAGACGATGGTTTAGTAAATTACGATACACGTTCTAAATAGTTGAGTTAGATATATGGTTTAAATATACGTTCTTTACATTCTAAATTATAAACGCTCTTCGCTTCGTATTATTTTAGCTTGACGTTTGGTCGGAATATGTTACTTCGTAAGAATGATATGTTACTGCGTAAGAATGAAGCCCATGTGTCTCTGCCCAGAATTGCTTGTAGATGCGGCAATCTTCCCATTTGGTCATATGACAGCTGCCGCCTTAAAATTCTCTAATGCTGTCAATGGGAAAGTTAAACAAAAATATTTTCTTTCTTAAAACAAAAATAAATGCAACGACAACATTTGCCATATGAAAAGAACTGCTTATTTGCTTTTGATTAAGGTATAAAGGTGATCTTTATTTGGACCACCACAAGGTGCAAATTGCGTCTCAATATGGACGAAAATGACAATTTTGCGAAATTTGTGATCTTTTCTCGTAAAGTTTAGCGGCTGGAGAGGTCTGCAGATATTTTTTCCTCAAAATGTACTTTCTATGGAGTAAGTATTCACTACTCAATTATTCATACAAAGTGCAGTATTGCAATAGAAAAAAATGCAAATATAACACATTTTGGCTAAAACTTTTGGAGGCGTATGTGCCAGTAAAATTGCACCAATGTTACCGAGCTTCAAACACCTTACACAAGAACCTTTACTTAACATGTGCACCAAATTTGGTATAGAAAGAAGGAGCGGTGCTTTTAAAATATTCTTTTCCCACAAACACCATTCAAACTGCATTCCGGGAAGTTCAGAATGCAGCCCCGAGACAAAATTTTTTTTCTCCGATATGTTCAAGCATTTCGTTGTTTTCGGTGAAGTAAATCAGCACGATTTTTTTTTTTTCGGATACATTTGACATGGTC